AAAGCAGTTTCACGTAAAAAACTTGAAAACACAAATGGCCCTATGTAGAGCCAGTCTTTGCCATGTCCTGGTGGACCTCTTAGACGAGGACCCGCGCCCTAAGTAGATATAAACGATGCATTCTAAAGTAAAGAAAACACAACAATTCTTATTTTCAGGTGATTATACACTAAAGAAACCCTACTTATTATATTAGATTCCATTTCCACCTATATAGCCCCCGAGATCCTCCACACTGGACCTTTAAAAACTGATGAAACATGTTCATTGTAAAGCTACGTGGATGTTTTAAGGCAACTATGAAAGACAGAACGATTTGTTATGATTTTCTTCTTTTAGTGCTTCAAATGACTTCCTACTTTTGGCTTTTTTAAGCTCAAGTTTCATCTGATACAACTTCAAACATGGTTTGCCTCTGGCACATTGTGTGCATGCCAAGCAAATCTAATTAAATGTCATTACTGACCAGTTTGGGACTTCCTCCACCCAGCTCATCCTCCAGCAATCTACGTGTCTCATTTTCCCAATACTTCATTAGGGCCTCTCTGCTGAAGGTCCCCGTAGGGGTCTTGTCTGTCTGGTCCCTCTGTCTGAGTCCTATGGGCACGTTGGCGTCAGGATCAATGTCCACCAGCTCCTTTTCCAGCTCAGCCAGCTCCTCAGGGGTGAGGGAGGCCAAAAGCTCGTCCTCATCGACATCTTCGTACTTACTCAACTCTCGGCGGTACCCGAAACAGCTCATGGCCAAAGCGTGATTAGCACAGACCCAGTCAGTAAGAGTTTAAACTACCACAGAAAGACCAGTTGTTGAGTTGCCCTTGATTCAGTCCGGACCCCAAAATTAAGTAGGCATGTGGGAATCCAACACAAGACAAGGTCCACAGTGAGTTTGCTGGAGATCCACAGACATAAAGGGTCCAGTTGAGGTGATCGTAGCTGGATGAATGTGTTTGAACGTCCCCACTCCAGTCTGAACTGGATCTATCCTGGCCGACTGTCTTGCTGTCAGGGAGAGTCTATGTGTGTGTGTGTGTGTCAGTGTCCTCTCCTCTCTAATCTCGCCAGCTGCTGTTTGGGCCTTAAGAGAGGGATCAGAGGGGAACGTACCAAAGTGTGAGCCCCATGATGCAGCGTCTTTTTTGGGAGGCACCGTTCTGAGAGATAGAGCCACAAAAAGCATGTGAGCTCAGAGGCCGTGGCCTGTCAACGTAGCAGTCTGTCACCACGGCCTGAGTGGCTTTGTTCACGGCCAAAAAAGACCAACTGGACCCAACAGAACAGAACGAAAGATAAACAGAGATAATGTATCTCCAACACTACGGCACAGGCTCGATCTCTGCATGTCTGTTGTTATTGTCAGTTGATCTGAGAGGCTTTAAAACTCCCATAACATAGCAGAAATACATATGAAGGCAGGGACAAAGACGATAGCTTAGAGCCGAGAGATTTATGGATGTGTGGCTGTGAGTCTCTAGCAACATATAAAGGTTATGTGACTTAAGGACTGAGGCACGTAGGGGTTTGCTGTTAAGTTTCTACTTCATTCACCTGACTCATTGTTTGTCAGATGCCATTTTGTAGATTATGACATAAGAGGCAGAAACAAACACGTAGACAAAAATAAGGCTCTAACCTGTAGTAATGTGTAAAAGAGTCCAGCTATTAGCCATTAGCATGTTAGCATCACCATAGTTAGGATGCTAGCATGCTGCCATTAGGATCTAGCTTAAAGGGACAGTTCAACTACAAATCATGAATACATATTTTTCCTCTTAGCTGTAGTGCTACTTATGAATCTACATTTTTTTGAAGGAAGCGTGTATCTACTGCTAGCTCGCCTAGCACCACTGAGCTAGCTAACATTACAGCTCAGCCAAGGAGGACGGCATTAATATTTACGTCTTGCACTGTCAAGAGCATGAGCTTCTCATCCATGAGTAGATGCACAATTCCTTCATGCGGTGATACGGTTGGTGGGTTTAGTTGGGTGGAGAGAAAATAGTTCCAACTTTCAACTGCTCACACCAAGGTCTGTGGATTATCTTGAGTAACTGGGTCATGATTTCTGGAAAGAAACATTGCTGTTGAGTTTTTCAAATGTATTTTTTGGCACTTTGAGCACCACAATCTGAGTGTCATCTAGTTCCATTATATTGGAGAGAAGGCAGACATCTCTACGACCGATATGCCCAACAATCAGCAACTCACACCAAAACAATCCAGAACAGCACTACAGCTAAGAGGAAAAATATGAACCTTTTTTGTAGGGATGAGCTGTCCCTTTAATGTTTAGCCTCACAGAGCTGCTGTTGTTGTGGCTGGAGTGGCTCTTGTTTATATGCTTTCACTTTATTTGACCTTTCAAATGTTGAACCAGAATGAAGTCAATAGACTAGTGTGCAGTAATACAAGCCGAAAACTAATAGTTGCATCAGAGGATTTGTGTTGTAAAGTAGCTTGACCTTAGTAGTAAGTTCATCTTTTTCGGGGGGATTTTTAAATTTCTCTTTTGAGAAAGTTCTCTCTTTAAGTGTAGGTCTGGTTGGGAGCCGATTTACTAAACTGAAAGTTACTGAATGCAAATCTGCTGTGAGGTTACGCCTGTATCTCTCACATACGCACACACACTCCCACATACAAACACATCAGTAGGTCATCATCAACGTAATCACACCAAATCTTTTAGTCTGGCGCAGAGAATATAATGAGAGGACAGGAATTATGTTGATATTATTATGGGCTTTTATACAGCTCATAGTTTTGTTTTTGCTAATCTGCTGTTGAGTGACAAGTTGTGGTTCCCCTCTCAGTCAGGCCTGGCACAGAGTGGTTGTATTAACACACAAACAGAACAGAAACACGTTGGCCCTGATCACACAGAAAGGGTTTTAGCAGCTTTAGGCGGCTTTTTGTAATTGTTTTTGATGATAATAAAGCTTTTTGCTCATTGTTTTTGTGTTGCTACGCGCCTCATGTTTCTGTGCTCTAGACACCTGGTGTTTTTACTGATGTGCTCTGAACTCCTTGAATTGAAAATACTTCATTTGAGAGGCGATGGGTCTTCTGTGGTGGTCACGACAACAATTTTACAGTTGGTGAACAATGGAGGAGCAACTCGTGGTAGCAGTTGCTTGATACCCAGAGCTATATGACTTTACTCTCTGCCTGTCTATTTTATACTACTAATAGAACTACTAAAACTTCTAATTAAAAAAAAAATGTAGGTAGTACTGGCTAGCCAAAATAACTGGTAGACTGAACGGGTCCATGTCATTGGTTCGACAGCCCATTGGTTTGACATCCCATTAGTCAGACTGTCCGCGGAGCTGAACGGCTCGCGGCGGCGTATGGTGCGCCACGACTGGCTTGAGGCGGAGCAGGCTCACGGCTTATGAGTTTGTCACTTTCTTTTTCATTTTAACACACACCATGATCTTTTCCTGACCCTAACCAAGTGGTTTTTGTGCCTAAACCTAACCAGACCTTAACCACAGGGCATCATGATGATTTCAGAACGGACTTCGGAACAATGAGTTTAATATGGTCGGAACAATGGGATGTCGAACCAATGGGCAGTTCCCAGACTGAACACACAGGAAGGTTAGGGTAAAACGGGATTTACACTTGTGCGGCAGACCCTACGCTGTAGCCTATGCACGTGGCCTACACAGTTGTGAGCATTAATACTAATGCAGTGGTGTGCTTGTGTCACTCTGCAGTTACACCACCAAAACACTGGTAGGCAGCGGGGTTTCTGTGAAGTGCTGTAAAGTTTAGTTGATTCAAAACATATAAAACATGGCTTAACAGAGACAGATAGAAACACAAGTACACATGTCAGTTTCACTATAACTCGCAGCATTCACAGACAAAGCACTTGTCTGCCCGTTTTCACCACAAATACAACATGCTAATGTTATTAGCACAAGCCGATGGCATTTTATATTGTATATATTAGCCTAGTGGCTAGCTGAACCTGCAAAACGCTTTCTCTGTGATCGGGGCCTTTTTTTAATTTTATATACTTTATTAATCCCCGAGGGGAAATTCAATTTTTCACTCTGTTGTCAATTACACACAGGTCCGAACACACACATGCACAAACTGGACCTATACATGCACTAAGTGGAGAGATGTCAGAGTGGGCTGCCCATGACAGGCGCTCCGAGCGGTTGGGGGGTTCGGTGCCTTGCTCAGGGGCACCTCGGCAGTGCCCAGGAGGTGAAATGGCACCTCTCCAGCTACCAGTCCACGCTTCATATTTTGGTCCGGACGGGGACTTGAACAGGCAACCCTCCGGTTCCCAACCCAAGTCCCTATGGACTGAGCTACTGCCGCCCCGCCAGTACTTCCTCATTTGCACGTGGAAGGGCAGAGAGGTGTGCTCTCTCCGCCTTATGCTTTCCATGTAGTGGCATGGAAGAGGCTTTCTGCGTAGGCCTGAGGAAAGACAGAGGCCCCAGAACAGAGCCATACCGTCTAATATGATACTGCAAATGGAAATAAAGTTTTCTTTGACTAAAGTGTTCCTGACTGAAATACATTTAAGCAACAATACTTTGCTTTTTTAAAACCCCTTCACTGAGTACACACAGTTTGAACACCTAAAGCCATCACAATGTGAGAATAATGTCATCCACCCAGACAGGTGTTTTCACTTAACCCGCCTGATTAGACCTTTACTCAGGACTGCTCGATTGATGTTTCTCACACTCTGTTGCACCCGTTAAGGCGGCACAGCTCACACTTAAATTATTCTTATCGGTCTTTATAGTTATATTTATAGTTTACAGTTATAGAATCCTGCGCCCAACCTCTCCTTGAGCTGAGATCTAATTAGCGAGAAGTGGAAACACCTGTGTGGGTGTGCAGTGCATTTAAGAATTGTGAAACATTTCTCCTGGACATGAATAGAATGACAGCAGCAGGGCAACACAGAATTGTTAGTTTTTATCCGAAGCATAAAAGACTGGATCTGTTCAGGAATGAGCTAGGATCGATTTCATAGCTAAAGGTGCCAATATTTATTAGAAAAAGGAGACTGTAGTGCTACATCAATACAAAATAATCAGGCTCCATAAAGAAAAGGGACCTTTCAGTTGTCCAAGCTTAAAAGGAAGTGTTCTTCTTCTTTTGTTTCACATAAAAGAAAGTGACACACTACAAGGCGCTCCTCTACATATACTGTATATAGCTCTACATATAAAACTTAAATAAAATACAAAAAGGAGAGAATATATATTCCCATTTGGCTCATTTTTTAAGAATGACAAGTGCTTTTTCGTTAATGTTTGAATCACACAAGTTGAACTAACTAATGTTGTACTCTCTGTATGTCAGGTAGTTCTTCAGTCTTGGAGGATAAGGGACAGCAGCCATGGCGACTGGGTCATTCAGCGTCCTGAGGGTCATGCAACCTCTGACCGCCAGTCGACACAAGTGCTGCAGAGACCGTGGCTTGCCTGGGAACACACAAGCAACCTCTAGTTACTTCCTTAATCCCTAAGGATTAACTTCATATTTTTTTAAAAAAAGATATGCAAAATAATGGATTTGAAGTTTTACTCAGTATGTCAGAAATCTCATCCCACTCAGGCCTCTTCTCCAGGATGTTTCTGAGGACGGGGCAGATGCTGACGTGGCCGACGTAGTCCAGGAGCATCCGTACAAGACTGCCAAGTAGATGTGTGAGCCACGACACCGAGACAAACTCACAGAACTGGAAGGAGAAAAAATCAGGGATGAGAATTACTGCAATATATTTGGTTAACTAGCTCAGTGATTGGCTGATCGGTCACGTATTGAACTGACTCTGTGTGACTCTTTATACTGCAATATATATGTCTGCGTGAATTCAGCCCATTCTCATTCCCAGGCCGTCAAATATCGCTGTTTCATGGGTGATTTTGGCGTCAGATACTGACACAAAAAGGCACCTTTGTCTGATGAGTTGGGATGAGAATGCGTCGGTGCATTAGCTCTTACTGTGATGGAGCCAGGTTGAGTGTAAATCTGGTAGGCTTGGTTATGGAGGTCAGCCCAGGTACTATCAATTTCTTCACTGTTACCATGGCAACATTGGAAACACCTGCCACAGACAGTGTTGCAGGGGTGAAATTTACAAATGAGCACTTCATTATTTCAGTGCTTAAATGTGTCTTACTCAAAGTCCCTTTTGACAGTCAGTAGACGTACCTGGAAGCTTGATATCCGTTGTTGAGCAGCAGCCGCAGCATGACGGGGTCCCTCAGGCAGTATTGCAGGGCCGTGGGAAACAGTGTGTTGCTGATAACTCTGAAGTAACAGTTCACCTCTGCTCCGTAGGACAGCAACAGCTGCACCAGCTCATACCTGGAAAACGGCGGACTATGAGACAATCTGGGCACAGTTGTTTTGCCCCTTTTTGTAGTTACTTTGTGTCTCTTTGCATCTCTTTGTGGTCTTTTTTGTGACTCTTACTGTTTAGTACATGTATGGTACAGTACAATAATTTGAGTGACATTTTTGCATGGTGGTGCAGTGGTTAGCATTGTCGATTCACAGCAAAAGGGTTCCTTGTTCAAACCCAGGTCAGGGGAGCCCTTCTGTGTGGAGTTTGCATGTTCTCCCCGTGTCAGTGTGGGTTTTCTCTGGGTACTCCGGCTTCCTCCCACAGTCCCACCAAAGACATGCAGGTTAATTGGTGACTCTATATTGGCCATAGGTGTGAACGTGAGTGTGAACAGTTGTCTGTCTCTATGTGTCAGCCTTGTGATAGTCTGGTGACCTGTCCAGGGTGTACCCTGCCTCTCGCCCAGTGTCAGTTGGGATAGGCTCCGCCGTGTATGAGAATACACACACATGTACTGTATGCCACACACCTCTCAGCGCGTACAGCCACCAGGATGCATCGTAGTGGGTCCAGCTCAGTGCTCGCCCCAGCTGCCAGCAACATCTCAGCACAGGTCAGATCACCATTGGAAACAGCAAAGAACAGAGGGCTCCTCCTGAGGTCCTGGTAGTTGTCTGCAACAAGATTTACATTCGATCAGGGGCCAGTTTAAAAGACTAAGACGGGACTTTTCTCCAACACTTGAAGGACTGTGCCAGTTGTTTAAATGTGGTTTAGCTCAGTAGTTCCCAACTGGTGGGCACTTTATTTTGAAGTATGGGGAATTTGTGGCACAGAGCTTTTATTTTGAAGTGCTGTGGCTAATGGGGTCAGTCTAGCATCTAACACTAAACTAATAGGCTGTCTTTATTTGAAGATTTCTGTAATTCTGAGCATGTGTGAGAGGGAGTCTAGTGCCCAGCTGTGTCCTACCAGAGATATGTGTGCCTAGCAAGTCATTGACATCATATCCTTTCTGGATAAGTAGCTCCAGACACTCGACTTGTCCCCCGTCAGCTGCTGAGTGGACGGGGCCCTGGCCTGAGAGACGGATAGCTCTCTTTGTGGTGATGGGTATGAGAGTCCTCAGGACTCTGCAGAGAGAGGGGGTGGGATTGGGACAAACAGCAACAGAGTGAAGGACAGAAACAGTGAAAAACAAATGCAAAAGAAGAAAACAGGACACAGAGCAAAACTTTCATTAGCTTGTGGCTCAAGCTACAGTGGCGTTCAGTGACAGAACTGATAAACAGCGATAAACAGAAGGCTCTTTGTGGCGATGATGACAGTGAAAACACTGCAGAGCTGTGAGGTGCAGAGAGAGACATGTTACAGTTTGATCAATTTGGCTGCGCAGTAGGAGGACAAGAATGTTAATTTGTCTCTAGTAATTTCTCGCCGTCTGAAACTGGATTATCTGTCAAAACTCAGATGCATTCTCATGAGAATACTGCCATATCTAGTGCTTCCAGATGATTGGGTGCCCTTTTTTTATGAAGGTCAGCTCACAGTATGTGTCCCTCATATGCAGCTCTGTGGATGGGAAGCTGGAAGGCGTAACTGGCAACATTGGGGTTGGCTCCGTGCTGCAGGAGCAGCTCGACACAATCCAGGTTTCCAGAACCAGATGCATCATACAGGACTGTGTCTCCATTGCTGGCCTGGGCATTCACATCCCCACCTAGTGGAGCACAGGGACAAACACAACAAGGTCTGAAGAGTGAGAAAAACATGACAGATGTAAAGCATTACATAGTATTGTTGGTGTTTTACCATGCTGTATGAAAATTTCCAAAGCTTCAGCATTGCCATATTCAGCTGCGATCCCCAGAGGAGTCACCCCGTGCCCGTCTCTGGCAGTTACTTTAGCTCCATGTCGAAGCAGCAGCATCATAATAGCTGGACAACCCACCTGGTGCAAGAGATAGAAGGCAAGTCCATAAAGGTGGTAGAGAGGAAGTAAGGAGAAGATTCTATTGTGCTATAGCGAGTATCATGCAGCGTTGTTCACCTTTGCAGCTTCATGGGTCGCCGTCCACTTACTGAGACACACCTGCTCCACAAAGGCCCCACCCATGACAAGCGTGAAAACCATGTCATATGATTTCTGTCTCACCGCTATAAAATGTAGAAAATACAAGGTAATGCAGTAAAAAGCCATTGCAAAGCAGTATTTATTATTCATAGAGTTCTTATTGAATAAATAACATTAACTGATGTCATGCTAGCAGCTCTGTGAGGCCGCATTTAGGAACAGCAATGCTTTGAGCTAAATGCTAACGCAGGCAGTCGTGCCATGAAAACCCAATCGCCAGAATAAGTATTGGTATTGTATTGTATGTTTCTGCACACGACAAATATGTTACATTTGGACATTTAATATGTCACAGATATATTGAAACGTTCCTTCATGTTTCAATTTTATGTTGTGAAGACGCTGTGGTTAAGGTGTGGTTAGGTTTAGGCATAAAAACCACTTGGATAGGGTGAGGAGAAGATCATGTTTTGGCTTAAAATATCTGGTTTGGTTGCTACAAACACAGCTGGACTTGTCCTAAACTCTTGTTATATAAAATGTTGGTATTTATTGGTCTTGAACAATTGTCCATCTCGCCTAAGTATCACGCCAGATTTTGTGATAACCACACATTATTATTGCAATATTCAACTGGGCCTATACAAAAAGATATGAATGATTTTTTGATCGACTGTATTGATATGTTGTACACACACACTTCCTAATAAAGAGGCAAACTAGCTAAAAAATGTAATTCAGTTTAATTTAATTCAATTCAACCTTTGTGGGGAACCTATTTGTCATGGTTCACGTTTGGGAATTATAAGTGCGTGACACATCAAAAGCCCTGACTGGCAGCCAGTGCAAGGGATGAAAGCCATGAGTGGGACAATGGATCGCTTCATTGTACGGAGCAAATTACAACAAAGCACCAGTGAAGATGACCTACCACCGAAAGAAAATTGAAAAAAATAACTGTCTCTACACAGTATCACAAAAGCTCCCTGTCTTATTTTTATTGTCTTATGTTGTAATAAGATTGATAACACATGTTATAGAAGCTATTGTGCACAGATATATATATATATATACACGTGTGCCTTAAGATTTTGGCTTGCCCTTTGGTGTGCTTAGGCACAAAAAGTTTGAAAACCACTGACGTAGTTTATAAGCTGACTTTGTCAATAGGAGGTAGAAGGGATGGCAGATGATGACCACTGTTTAAGACCAGCAATCGGCTTTTTAGCCACCAAATGTGGGTGTTTTTTAGTGAACCATTGCCGTGTTTCTACAGGAGATAGTGCCATAAAAAGCAGTTGTGTTTTACCAAGTCATCACTGCGTTTTCAACTGGAACTGTGCCACCAAAACCGGGTACTTTAAGCCAAAACATGATCTTTTCTAACCCTAACCAAGTGGTTTTTGTGCCTAAACTTGACCACACGTTAACCATAGCGAGCAAGAGGGTTCCTGGTTCGAACCCAGGGTGAGGGAACCCTTCTGTGTGGAAATTGCATGTTCTCTCTGTGTCAGCGTGGGTTTTCTCCAGGTACTCCGGCTTTACTCCCACAGTCCAAAGACGTGCAGGTTAATTGGTGACTCTACATTGTCTGTAGGAGTGAATGTGAGTGTGAATGGTTGTATGTCTCAATGTGTCAGCCCTGTGATAGTCTGGTGACCTGTCCAGGGTGTACCCTGCCTCTCGCCCAGTGTCACTGGGAGATCCACCAGTATAAAGCCAAACTGTAAAGGTGGTGATGTACTAATAAACCTGTTTTGGAATATGCTGTTAATAGGGGATAAGTGGGCGACTGAGTGAGTTGTTTGCATCATCTTGAGTCTCTGTGTGTGTGTGTGTGTGTGTGTGTGTGTGTGTGTGTGTGTTACCAATCAGCAGAGGAGACTCGTTCCTGCTGTTGGTGTTGTGTGGCGACGCTCCGTGCTGCAGCAGCATCTTGACATTTTCCACCAGGCCGGCCTCCGCTGCCAGAGTCAGAGCCGTGTCCCCGTCATCTGTCCACTCCTCCAGGGTCAGGTCTGTTGATGTGGACACTGCCCACAAAACAACAAACAGTATGATACAGTTGGAAATACACACACTCTACTTCCGTAAATAGTTTCAGATGCTAGATGCTCTTTGGTTTAGACTTTACGCCCCGCTGTGTTGCACTGAGCTCTCACCCTGCAGCACCACATACAGGGTCTCTCGCTGTGGCTGCACAGCTGCTGCGTGAAGAGGCAGCCAGCCCCTGCTGTTGGTCTCTCTGAAGGCAGACACGCAACCCGACAGCTCCTGCAGTGCGTGCACATCACCTGGGAAGACACAACCAAGACCCATGCAGGACACAGGGGGAAACATCTGTAATACCCATGCACTCAGACACGAACCCAAAAACCTTTGTGTTTATTTTTAGGTGCCTCTATGAAATTACTTTAGTCATGTGTCACAACAATGATGGACAGAGTTAAACAGGAAGTCTACCTTTGTGAATGGCTGCCATTATCTTCATAAAGTTGTCACTGTTTGATTCCTTCCTAATGAGCCAAAGGAGAAGAGCAGGTCACTGAAAGATTTTGCTCTAGAAACTCTATGACTGATGATTTGAGTCAGGATTTCCTATGAATTCAGAATCTACCCATCTTTTCTGCAGTTTGTTTACAACCCCAAAATGCCCTTTTGACAGTTAGCACTACCTGTAACCTTTTTAGTGAAAGCACGTTGGACATACAGACATTTTGGACTCTCTCACCTGTTTGTTTGTATCAAACATGGCAGATTGTTGCCATCTTGAATGCTCTCTCGAATGGCAAACTCGATAAGTTCCTCATTTATGCCCTCCTGATCAAAGTCATCCATTTCTATATCAGAGGACACAATGAGAATAATTGTAATAAAAATAAAAGGTTTTCACACAAGTTAAATGACTTGCTGGCAACTTATAATATGTTGAAGTCACATCTGTGTGTGTTTCTGCTTTGTCCACGGCTGCAGGCATGCAACTTGTTTATCAGCACAGGGCTGCTGGCACGGTGTCACCCCAGCTTCAAATGGTGTCACATGTGAGTACATTAGTCTGTCACATTTGAGATGACGCCACAGGTTGCATTTTCTATGTTAGTCGTAACAATCCGTCTCACCTGTTGATCTGAACGTGCGCCCTGGAGCACTCCAGCTTGCAGCCCGTGTGTTTTTGTTTAGCGGGGTCCGAAGCTGTCTGGGTTATATTTAGATGTGACCTGCTCTAGACGACCTGACTCAGCTCAGAGTGCCTGTTGCATTTTCACTTCCAACTCCTGTGTACAAAGTACTCCTTTCCATGATTGCCACACTGTGACTTCATTCCAGCCAGGTCATTTGGTCACATGTTATAGTCACACTTTACTTGCACAGCAATACATGGACACAATATTATTACTATTGGTATTTTTATGGCTTGCACTTTTTTTTTCAGTCTGCAAAACAGCAAAAAAATCCAGTATACAAATACAACTCAAATCCTACCCCCTCCTCCCTCCCCACCAGGTGTAACTCCCAGAACATGAGTGATGAACAGCAGTTGAATACATCAATAATGTTGCTTCATCAAAAGAAATTCAAGTTGCGGTTACAGTTTACATCCATTTCTGTGAAAACATGGCTGCTTCACACGCATCTTCAACCCGACACAGAACATATATACAATCAGCACAGTTTCAACGTGGACACAAGATCAGTATCACCAATTCAACATCTGACCAAATGTCTCCCCTTCTGTTCTTAAAATGTTGAATAATAGCCAGAAAAGTGTTTTGCAGAACATTATGATGTCATTCTGAAGTTGACCTTTGACCTTTTGGATATAAAATATCATCACTTTTATTCTATTAGACATTTCGTGTGAGATTTTGTGATAAGAAGTGTATGAATTTCTGAGTTATGACCAAAAACATGTTTTGCGAGGTCACAGAGACCTTGACCTTGGATGACCAAATTCTAATCAATCCATCAATGAGTCCAAGTGGATGTTTGTGCCAAATTTGAAGACATTCCCTGAAGGTGTTCTTGAGGTATCCCGTTCACAAGAGCGAGACGGATGCAAGGTCATGGTGACCTTGACCTTTGGCCTTTGACCACCAAAATATACTCAGCTCATCCTTGAATCCAAGTGGACAGTTGTGCCAAATTTGAAAAAAAAAAATCCCTAAAGGCATTCTTGACACATTGAGATATATTGAGATATCATAGTAAATTGATCATTTATATATACAGATGAGGACTTTTAAGAAAGTAAAAACATAAAATCCACTTGACAGTGATTCAAATGCTTTCACCTTACCCTTACTCGTGTGCACTTTATAAAGCAATACACCTTCCTTCAAACAAAGGCCATGTAACCAACTCACGGTCCAAACTCCAGACTGCTGGGCACTATGGGTGTGAAGTGTGGTCTCCCAGATCAGCTTCCAGGTGTAGATGTGTTACTGTGTGGTGCTAAAACGCAATAAAACATCCTCGGACAAAAAGCAGTTAAACAATGCTTTAAGCTGCATGGTGTTAACTGTCCATCCATCCACATCGATCTTTCCATTTTCATCCGCTTATCCGGGGCAAGATCGCAGGGGCAGCAGGCCAAGCAAAGCACCCCAGACGTCCCTCTCCCCAGCAACGCTTTCCAGCTCCTCCCGGGGGACCCCGAGGCGTTCCCAGGCCAGATGAGATATGTAATCCCTCCAGCGTTTTCTGGGTCTGCCCCAGGGCCTCCAACTGTATGTAGTATAAATTCACTGAATCTTGTATGTTTTACTCATTTTTTCCTCTCCTTTAGATCTTGAAAGCACCTCGTTTCCTGTCACTGATGATGTGAGCAAGCTGTCATCATTGGTGAGATTTCTGAGTTGCTACAGGCTTGACAGGTATCACACTCAAGTATCACACAAAATCCTTTATCCGTCATTATCTCCAGTATTGAAGCAGAATATTCCATGACCACAGCTCATGTGTTGGAGCGTCCTTTACTCTTCTGTACTTGCACTAAATTGGAGAATCCTTTAAACAAAGTCAACCTACTCAGGGTCCAATCTTTATCAGTCCCATCCTCAAATCTCTCAACGCTGTCCAAGAGTTGCCACAAATTTGAAGCCATTTATCTTCCAGATCCCTTCCTCAAACTATTCTTGCTATTGATGTTAACAAAAATGTCTAACACATCACACTTTTTATCCTGAATGTTCTCCTTTGTGTCTGGTATTGATTTGATTATGAAAATCAATAAAGGATATGGGCTTTTACTTCCTCAGTATGTCGTAAGAATATTATGCAAACATCTGCACACTCATTCAAGCAAATCAATAACAGCAAAAGTGTATTTGAGTAACTAAGCTTGGACACGATGAAAAAAAATACATATAAATAGATTTTAATAATAAAAAATGCTAAAATAATTAAACAAAGATCATGACTGAAAATGAGCCACTCTCACTGTGGGGCCCCGACAAGCTTTCTAACAGTAACAAAGACCTCTTATCTTTTTTTCACTTTCTAAACAACAGCTTGGGGAATAACCTTGACATATTCTAAGCGAAATATTCCCTCTATAGAACAAGCGCCCACTTTCTCCTGACGAACAAATTGATCCGTGGGAGTTTATGGAAAAAGTCTCAGACAGCATCAGTGTGTGACACAGTGACTCAGCCTGTAGGCGGCCTCTCCACCGCGTCAAAAAGACTTCACCACCAATCTGTCTGGAGGGAAAGCAGTCTGCCAGCCCCTCTTCAAGTTTCACTACACGCTCGGACATCACACACATACACACAATGAGCTCTGTCTTTGAACTGAAAACACTTGATTTCATGCACCGGATTTGAGCAGCCACGGATTCTTGCTCCATATGAGGAAGACAGTAAGTAGCAGATTTTTAGTTTCTTTCTGTTTCTCACTGTAGCTGTGTGTTGTAACAGAGGGAAGATTAATTCACTGAGGCAGCAAATTCTCACTTGTGTTTTGCTTGTTAAATAGCAGAATATTTGTATTAAGAGTGAAGCATTATCACATTTTTGTTTGTATATTCTTTGTGCCTTTTTAGCTTTATTCTTGCAATGAAATGTAATTGTGTGACATCAGATGTAACAAAATGACAAAGGATCTAAATGTGTTTCCACTCTACTTTTAAATGAATTTTAATTTGTGGAGACTGTCATTCATTTTTAATTGTAAAAAAAAGTGCACAAATTGTTAACTAAAATTATAAATACCACAATTAAATAATAGTCCTGTAGTATTTGAAATGGAGTTTAGTCTACAAAAAAAAGTATGCACAATTAGGAAGTGACATCACTGTTGCATTAAGGGTATTTTAATGTGTTAAAAGGTCTTCTGTAAGTGCTCCGCATCCTTGCTGGTTCTACGCTCTTGTAAAAGGGGGAGCGAGGTGAAAGGGGCACATGGACACATATTGAGTGTTCATCATCTGCGCACACTCCCTCGTGCTGCTGCAAAATGTTTTTACAAGAAAAAAGATTTCTTTGAGGCAAACCACATCCCTGCCTGTGACCCAGGCAGCTTTGAGCTCCTCACATGTTTTGCATTTAAAACGTTAACTCTGCAAGGGGTCATTACAGCTACTTATCACCTCTGGGGAAATTGGTCCTGTGCTGCAATGCGCTGAAGTGTGGGTGGGTTTGTTTTTTTTTGTTATTATGACCATAGGGGTAAAATGCATCCACTTTGAAATTAATTTGGAGTGCCGGTTAGGGCCATAGGTGCAGGGAACACATCCCCCCTTAATATCTAGAACATGTGCATTAGTCGTCCCACCCACACTCCCCAAAAACAACATAAAAGTAGCAAATTAAGGACATTTACAACACAAATTGGTGCATAAAAATCACCAGAATGCAGGAAGCTTTTGATACTTCAAATTTTCCAAACACCCCATTTCATGTGTGTCCCCCCAAAATGTTGGAACGAAACCTACGCCCCTGGTTAGGGCTGTGACTAACAGTTCTATTCATTGTTTTCTTGGGTGGTAATTTGGATTTAACATTTGAGATGCTGCTTTACGATGACCAAAAACGAGTGTTAGATTTTCACTATGGTTGTAATTTTCTGTCGTTGGACTAATCAAATAATCGACCAATGGTTGCAGCTCTGCTTTGGATAAAAACTGGAGGAAATTGTATATAATACCAAACTAATATGACGAAGTTGTTTTACTTTAAAAAAGCACTACATTAAATTGGATCGTCTTTTTGAAACATATATAATATATAGCATTTTAGTACTGCATACAAGAGGCGTGTGTGTATGTGTGTACTGTTTTGTGTTCAACATAACAAGCCTCAAAGAGGAGTCTCGAGAATTCATCTTTAAGATGTCTGATTCACATTTTTGATCCGAAATTGTGGGTGGAGAAAGCGATTGTACTTCTTATACAAATATTTGATCCTGGTACTACTGAGCATGGCACTGTGGGTGTAAAGTGTGGTTTCACGGGTCAGCTTCTAGGTGTAAATGTGTTACTGGATTAATGTAAATTAGGGTGGTGCTAAAATGCAACAAAGCATCCTCAGACAAATTTACTGTGTAGTGTTTGTGTGTTTTACTTGTTTTTTTCTGTCCCTTAGATCTTGAAAACACCTTGTCTCCTCTTGAGTCTGTTCACAAATTTGAATCTCTGCTCTGGAAAATTTGGGACGCCGATAACTGATGATGTGAGCAAGCTGTCATTATTGGTGAGATGTCTGGGTGCTACAGGCTTGACATGTATCACATTCATGTAAAGAAACTGTCCCTATGAGATCTTGTATCACTGATAGTATCTTGCAAAATCCTTTCTCTGTTATTATCTGCATTACAGAAGCAGAATATCCCCTCTGATTATGAGATTCCCGTTAGTTACATTCCCAAAGAAGTGGTACGTATGAAGATGTAAAGGCAGATATTATGTGAGACAAATCTAGTATTGAGCAAAGGATGATCATTTCTTTGGTATGTACGTCTCCAGGCTGGCACGTGCTGGGTGGTGTTGAATATCTATCCTTTGGAGCAAAGTCTGCGGAAGCTTGCCAACATGTTTGGTGCCATCTCCTCCAACAAAGAAAACATACTTGTCTTCATTGCGATGCTGAAGAGTCTACGCTTCACCTTTGACCATGAGGAACTGGTAAATAATCACGATGCAGCTCAGTCTTAGGATGGAGTGTGGAACATTCTGGGACTGTTTTGCACATTTAATTGCATGATTGAGTTATTTCGGGATTGCTTGTTGTCTGATCCCCCAGGAAACGGCGATGCAAGTCTTCCAGTGTCACTATCAGGAAGAGAGCTTAATGTCCGGAGTTTACTTTGACTACATCAAAGACGTCTTACACGCCGCCTCTCAAGGAACATCTGGCTTCTCGTGCAAGCCACCACCATGCCTTAATCCACATCAAACACCAGGTACAATCATTAATTTTTAATAGATGCCTCAACAACTAAAGCAGCTTAGTGGCCTATTAGTGGGCAGATATTGATTTGGGGTCAAGGACACACAGCTGGGGTTAGGAACCAGATATGTAACCTTGAAAGCACAGCCAATACGGGTAATTAAAGGAATTATATGAGCATTAAAAGCAAGAATCATACAGACAGTAATTGTAAATGCCTAATGCCCTGACATTCCAATAGGAAGCCAAAGTGAGTATTTCTGAGTGACACATTCACCAGAATCCTCTCTACTAGTTCCATAAATAAACATCAAGAGGATTGACGTACCCACTATCAGATTTCTAAGGCGTAACTGTGGTCTGTGAAATTTCCAATAATATTTCCTTCTTCCAGAAGGTCAAGAGGAGGGTCGTGAGTACAGCTGGTCGAAGAGAGCTCCCTTGCTTCTGGCTCTCATCCCCTTCACAGCTTGTATTATTATCGTAGTGTGGCTGGTAAGTAACTGGACTGGCTCAGTGAAATTTTTTTTTTTTGGATAATCTATAGGAAGATACATACACAGGAAATTATAAGACCTATCTGTAACATGATCACTTACCTGGCTGAATGGTTATATATTTATCAGGATAAACAACACACAGCCTGTTTATACCTGGTGTTAACGTGTGTTTCGGTGATCTGAACACAAGTGGACAGCTGAGACACATCGCCATTCACACCTGTTTCTATCACGAGTCTCCAGCTGACCGCTTGTATTCAGATTTCTTAACTGCCTATGACACTTAGGCTAGAACGTCAGTTCTGCAGTTATTATGTCCACACTCTAGTTGCGTACTGGTATGCTCGCTAGTCACGTTATCGTCAACCTGTCAACCGAATCCAACGTGTCTTCTTCCATAGGGCAAAATGATGGACGGTCAGGCAAATCTTCGTCCAACTACAAAAGATATGTGGCCACCTCGCCAAGCGATTTGACCGATTGGATCACAGTGTGTCTTGGTGGCTGTTTGCACTTGTATCTAGCGCTGTCCACTTGTGAACCAATCACCCAAGATGCATGTTAATACCAGGCTGATAGGACTGCATTGCAAACTTTGGTGCATACACAACAAGAGCGCATACCTCACAAGATAGCGCCCCCGTCCTTCACGCATATTTACCTTTTCTAGGCATGACGCGCCCTACTCTACCTAACTCTGCAACTGATTGGCTTACCCTGACATTCGTAAAGCCTTTACAAACTGAGTCCATCGGAAAAAAAAAATGTAACGCACAGAAACCTTGCACACTGATTCCGATGTTTTTTATTGTTCTATTAGTTGTGAAAATTCGCAGTACGTGACAAAATGAAAGGACACATTTCCTCCTTTGCCTCTCTCCATTGGAGTTACCTATCTGGCTGTCACCATTCTTCCCATGTCTTCCATTTGGCACCGCAACTACATGAAGGGGCGGAACTGTCCTCCACATTCTATATGTGGTCCACATCCTCCTCCTCTTCATCATCATCAATCGAATATTACCATGTGACCCGCTGAACGTGAGCTATCCGAGTCATTAAATGATTCTGTGCGCCCTGTTCCTCTGTCATGTCGAGGATGTGTCCCACTGCCACGTTTTCTTCGCAGATTCTTAGTCTAACGTCTCTAAAAGCTTCTGAAGAGTGCGAAAAACGCAGACAATCGAATCTGTTCCGAACATTTTTATGACGGACGAAAGTTGAACGTTAGATCGTATACATTTTTAGACATTCGACAATTTCAGTGTGTGAAGGTCTTTATTCTAAACTAAACAAATCCAACCAACGAAGGCAACAAGTACTAGCCAATCAGAGGGAGAGTAGGGTGGGTCATACCTTCACTATTCTAGGAAACGCAACTTTGCAACCTACACTGCATGACGTGCCTTGACATTCTCTACTGTGTACTTTAGTTTATCATGCTAATTAGAATATGCTAGGACAAACATAGGCTACCTGCCAAACAGCCTGTTAGCAGTGTCATTGTTAGTGTGCTGATGTTAGCGCACAAAGCTTTTAGCATGACTGTAAACTCTTGCGGAGAGACAGATTTTTTTCATACAGCTTTCCTGCCGTTGTAAAAGCTCCTTTTTTGCTTCTTTATTGAGTATATTGGAACATAGTTATGACACTATTCAGGCAGATAATTGGGTGTATGTTTAAAAGGGCAATAATGTCAAACTCAAAAGGCGCACCACAATGAGCACTTATTGCAATTTCTAAGACTTTCAGCACGGCCTTCCGGCTCTTCATGAATGAAAAATTCAGCTGGGAGCCATTTCACAATTAGTTATTCAGAGAGGATGATATCGTGGGTGTACTGTATGTTATAGATCGCATATATTTGAAATTGTAGTGGTTCTCTTGGGTTTTGTAATATTGTAAAAACCTAAGTGCCCCCATCTAAAAATACCATCCTTGATAGTAAATGTTCCATCAGCTACACGGTCTCTTGTGCCTTCTGGTTTCTGTGGGTCAAAGCCTCCATGATAATGTGCCTTCATTTTCCTGACCACTTCCAGGAAGGAAATTCTTGTAAAGTTAACAAGTGCTCATCAAATATTCAGCAGTACTTTGAGGCCGTTATTACCTATGTAATGATTTCCGCTTTGGAGATTTATTAACTGCCTTTGTTCATCATAGAAAACAGGATATATGACTGAGCACTGTTCAGATTGTAACTTTCTGTCTTCTCATTTTTATTTTTAGGTCAAGTCTAGGAGGCTTTTACCAGTGTGCAACACTGAAAATAGTCAAATGGCACCTTCTGACATGATCCCAACTGTGTCTATCTCCATCCCACTCCAAACACTCGCCCACGCTGCTGACACTCAGCCGGTGGGGGAGGCGATCCCTGAGCATGAGAGCGGATGAGGCGCGATTAATAGAAAAGGGAAATGTGGACCGCAGTTTAACAACGCACTCTCCAGGTTGTTCTGTTAGTGGCCAGAGGCTGCTGGATAAACGAGTGTTGTCTGACACTCTTCCTCTGCTTTCACTCATCTGAGTGCACGGACCCGAGCTACGAGAGAAAACTCACCTGCTGTGAAGGCAGGTGTGTCACAAAATTCCCCAGGCACGTCTAGCACTTAACCATCCAAAGAGGCTTTTTTGGATCCAGAGGAGGAACTCACTACACAATGGCTGGTTATGTGCCAAAATGGCTGGTGAAGTACATTAATTGTCTCGTCTTGGCCAGTGTTTAACAGCACTTGGCCGGCCCTCTCTGAGCAGACTGAGTTGAGTTTTCTTTTTCTTTCCTGCCACTCTGAACCGTTGCCATTCAGGGTGTTGCTATGCGATCAAACGTATCGCTGGAGCCTTGAATCAAAATGATCTCACAGGAAAATGTCATTTTATTCTGCGATGGACCTTTTCATCAATCTGTCGGCTGTGTCCTGGTGTTTACAGAGACTGTCCTTTCACTGCTGGTCTTATATTCTGACATCCACTGAAATGCACATATGCAAAGAAGTACATTCCTATCACCACTTCCTTTTGGTAATGCATCAGAAGTATTGTGCAAGTGCATCTACTGCAGCTTCTCTTTTACTTGTTGTTGACGTTATTCTGATCTGTGATCTGTCACAAATTGCAAACCTGCTAGTCACAAACAACACGCCAGGCGCTTCAACAAGCGTCCTACTTTGTGTATCAAAGATCTGACCAGATGGCAGATAGCCATCGCCAGAGGCACTTTGAATCCCGTCATTGTATTTCAAAGCTGTTGCCCAGTGATCTATAGCTGCTGCTCAGCCACAGTGAGTGTGTTTTTAATGCCTTATTCACTGAGTCAATCATGTTCAGTCATGAGAACATGACTCCCCGAGTGTGAGCGCTCTTGTGCTGTATGTGTCAGAGCGAGGGAGCGAGAGACAGGACAGGCAGGACGAGGGAAAGTGAGGGAGATAGGGATAGATAGATGGATGGACGGATGAGCTCAGTGAGAAGCATAAGGAAGGCTTGTTCTCGCCACAAAAGAACTGGCCGTAGGCTGGAGGAAATGCCAGTTACAAACACGACTGATGTCGGCAGATCCCTATGAATCAACAGGCGAAGAATCTTTCCAGACCGCAGGCTATGTAGCCTCATCTACAGAGGATGGTCAGTATTTCAATAACAGTTTTTGGTATTCGAATGATTTACTTCCACAACGCATCAATGAAATATGGGACGATACACCTTTATTAAAATATTTTCACTTTGTAGACAAGTGCTACAACTTTGGTGTTTTACTGTTTGTCTTGTGACCAATTTTTTTTAAATAATTTTAATTTTTGTATTTTTGTGAAATTGTGTATTTGTATCGTATGTGAGATATTTAAGTTATTTTGTTATGAGATAAACCACTTACAAAATGTAATGAACTTTTTCTACTATTGTAATATTGCAAATGAAAAATAGATAAATTTTAAGTCATGCATGCACTGGGGTTAGACAAAGTACTGTAAACATTCTGAGAACACACATTATACTCTCAAAGTAATTAAGGGTGCTTTCACACCTGGCCTGTTTGGTTCGGTTCAATCGGACTCAAGTTCGTTTGCCCCCTAAGTGTGGTTCGTTTGGGCATAACACTTGGGTACGCACCAAAACAACCGGACCGAGACCTTCTTGAAGAGGTGGTCTCGGTCCGGTTACAAACGAACTCTGGTGCGGTTCATTTGTGGTGAGAACGTGTCCCGACTTTAATATGCACATTCAGCACATCCCTTGCATCAAAACATTGTTTTCTAGTTGGAGCCGCACCTCGTTTTCAAACTGTATGGTTTGACTAAAATGAACAATGACAGCAATATAGTCCACGATGAGCAGCGCTAAAATCAACCTGCGTAGTTGTCCCTCCATTGTGACATTAGAAAGTGTCACATTTATCTTGCAAGTGTACTCTTCTTCAACGTTTTGTTTACTTCCTGGATTTTTCCCACATGGAAATTCTGACCAATCAAGAGCAGCTTTCTCGCGCAAGGCATTATATATATGTAGTTCTTTATGAAATGTTGACATTGCTTTGTCTCGCCCCTGCAAATGGCCCATGAGCGAAATCATGTTGTCAATATTATATGTATGTTCTGTGACAATATATTGATACATCTTATTGTTGTTGGAAAAATGACGAAACGCCAAGACTGGATGCTTCCTTCAAGTCCTTTTTATTTAAAGAATAAAATAACAGAACACAATACTGCTTCAAAAACATTGTAAGTTGACATAACACAGGCAACAAGGGGCTTGATGAAAGGCCTCCACTCTGGATTTTTGAAGTGACATATTTGGACTTATTCATACAGAGATCATACATTCATGCAGAACATTGTAAGGTCTTCTCAGGCCTCCCTGACCTTTGATGTAATTTCAAAGATGATTCATGATGATTTTTTTTTTCATTGCCATGGTTACTGATTGCACAAATAACAATAGCATCAATGAGATGTTCTGGTGATTCAAGTTGTAATAATTAAACTATTTGTTATGCAACAGAAGAAGCGATGCTTTTGAGCTGGATCTTGTTATATTGTAACTCTGTCACAGGGGAAATTACCCAAATTGAGAATATGTTATTTCCATGGTCAAGGAAAACTTGATCAATAAAAGTGAACCCTCTTAAAGCCAGAAACAAGAGGTGTTAGTCTCAAGCTTGTGATGTCACATGGTTTAAAGTCTGGAGCTGCTATCTGACATTTCTTAACAATGCACTGCTGTGGAGTGGGCTGCAACAACACATATTTTAGCCACCAAAGGTGTACCCTATATTTCAATATTTGCTCCATTTTCCTATACAAACTAACCAATCAAGGCCGTGGTACACCAGCAACTCAGTGCTGAGCTAAATGACTGTTTTTGTCAATGGAGTAAGGTGAGTTTGATGTAACAGCTTTAATTCCTCATTGGAAAACACTGTCTGACAGCAAAGTATAGCAGTGAAAATACACCTAAACTGATATTACTTTTTTACGGTGGGCCTTTTTTAGATGGCTAAAAACAAACCAATTGCTCAGCACTGATTTTATCTGCATGACACAAGAATTTTCTACCCGGAAGTTACTGTTAAAACAAACACTGTGATTCGGTTTATAGACAATGAATGGGACCCTGCCATGGACCCATAGTGTTTGTTTTCTTTTTGATACCCAAATAACTTTATGGGTTCTCATTTCTGAAATGGAAAATGTACCAATATACTCAGAACATTCCCCTGGGAGCTCTCAGTGTCTCTATAACAGCTTTCCTTATTAGTCTATGGGGCAGCTCCAGACTTTATACCCGATGACATCACAAATTTGAGTTTCAGCTCTCCAGTGTCTGGTTTTGGGTGAGAATTGTTCATGTTTGGGCTGTCTTAGACAATAGGAATAACATGTATGATTTTTCAAAATGGGCGTAGCTCCCCTTTAATATTTTAATTTGACATCTACAATTTCACTATTAAACTAAATTTAGAGTAGAACAATAACTAGTAGTATAACTAAAACTAGTAGAACAAGTGTAAGCACAAAAATATGACAAAAAATGTATTTAAAAACATCATAAACAAAGTTATAACCATCATAATTCACAGAGACGACTGCTTTTCTCTGTTTTTTGGCTCCTACAATTCAAATTTTAAAGACCGTGCTCTTATTTTGTATAGGAACATCCGCCGGAAACGCCGAGACTTTTGTTTTGGAAAGCAGCTATACTCCGGTCGCCATGATTCTTCCTGGCTTGACTGTCCGGAGAAAGACGGTTAAATACTTTTAAACGTTATATTTCGGGGTAAACTGCAACATTGCCTGTCTTTTCGTGTATTCGGTTGATTAACGTATGAATTAGCGACCCGCCCCGGGTACAGAATGGACAAACGGTCTGACACCGCAGGTAAGTTGCCAAGCTAACGTTAGCAAGCTAACAGTAGCTGCCGCCGAGAGCCGTGCTCACAAAATGAGGTCCAGCGGAAGCCATCTGTTGCCGATAACTAGCTGTTTGCGTTTAATCGCAGGTTAACGTGCGTGTAGCTAAGTGTCTTCGGGTATTTTGGCGATGTTTGGTGGTTGGCTAGCTAATAAGCTTCAGCAGGGACAGCCCGGGCTGCTTAATTTCAAATTAAACCATCCCTCCCTCCGGATGTCCTGCTCGGCAGCTGCATCGTGTCACAACAGCCACGATGACACCCACTAGGAGCATTAAACAGCCCTACTTAAAGTTTGAATTTAACTCGGATGCTGTTTGCCGCTCATTCTCTTCACCACTGAACATGCACACGCAAATGTGCACACGTCCAACCTCTTTGCAGCCTGTCTGCAGCTATTAAAGCGTGCCTTAGCACTGCAGCGCCCCCTACAGTGGCTGTTGGCTCCACCTACTCAAGCTGGTGTGCTGTTGGTTAGTTTGTGTGGAACACACACCCACGGTTTACAAAGGTTCTTATCGTGATCACTGATAGAGGGGGAGATTTACGTTGTTAATGAAGGGCAGTTAGGTGAGTTACACTGCAGTGAGGCTGAAACACAAAGTCTAACTGGTCATTAAAAAGCTCAGTGTTACAACAATAAGGCCTTAAAAGTCATTAAATAGTCTTAAATTTGTGAGGTCTTAACGACTACAAACATTTTGTCTAATTTCATTTATCAATTCAACAAGTGAAGCCTTTCTATGTAAAAGTCCATATGTCTAATGTTACAGATATTTAAAACACTCTAATACTGTCATTTTACTTCACACATACCTGTTGGCAAAATATAAATTGACTTAACTCACTCTAATAACCATATTCCTACATGTCATTTACCTCTGCACAAAGCCACAAATATAGGCTACCACTTACCTGCGATGCTTTAATAAGTAAAACATAATTTGTCCAAAAATCTGTCTTAAATTTGGTTAAAATGTGTCTTGAACGGGTCTTTGAATTGTTAGACGCTTTAGTGTGAAATCTTAAAATAATTGGTAACATTTCTTTTTAAAAAATAACACTCAACTCATTCACCACGTCCAATCAAAGGACAAATAACCAAGCTTTTTTCAAGGTAAACCAAATAGAAACGTTTACGATAATATACTGTATGTTCATCGTTTTGCGTGTGTACCACTAGAAATTTTGTCAACATTTGAAGTATTTCGGGGGTGTCCAAACTTTTCTGAATGGGGTCCAGATTAGGTAATGTGAAAATACCTTAAAGCCAGCCGCCTCTCGCATCATATTGGTTATCAAAAAAATCCCAGTAAGGCCAAGTAGTGAAAAGACAGACAGGCTACATGCTGTTTTAAATCGGTCCACAGGCTCCTTGTCTGCAGGGTGTCTGCACGTCCCTAAGGAGTTTTAAAAAGTCTTGAATTCAGTTTTTAAATATAAGGCCTTATAAGTCATTAAATAGTCTTAAATTGTAAATTGTGAGGTCTTAATTGCTACAAATATTTGATCTAATTTATCTTTTTTTGTTGATCTCTTCTGCATGAAAGTCCACATTTCTGATGTTACAAATCTTAACACCTACCACTGAAGCTAATACTGTCATTTTCATTCATACTTACACTTAGCAAAATGTAAACTAACCAAACTCACTCAATAACCATAAATATGTACCTCTCACCTTTATACTTACCTACAGTGCTTGAATAAGAAAAATATTATTTGTCCAAATATTAGTCTTAAATTTGGACAAAAATGATCATGACAAGGTCTGAAAAAAGTGTGTGATACCTGTTGACAGCCTGGGGTGGACTTTGGACATGCCCGAAATATGTAGATTGTTAAACTTTTCCACTGGACCAAAAAAGTCGTATTTTATGTCACAATGAACATTGGGCAAGATTGCACAGACTTTGGGGCAGCAGTAGCTCAGTCTATAGGGACTTGGGTTTGGAACCGGAGGGTCGCCAATTCAAGTCCCTGTCCAGACCAAATATGGAGTGTGGACTGGTAGCTGGTGAGGTGCCAGTTAGCTTCCTGAGCATTGCCAAGGTGCCCTTGAGCAAGGCACCGAACCCCCAACTGCTCAGGGCGCCTGTCCGTGGCAGCCCCCTTGCTCCGTCATCTCTCCATTTAATACATGTACAGGTCCTGTTTGTGCGTGTGTGTTTAGGGCCTGTGTGTGTATGACAACAGAGGGAAAAAATGATTTCCCCTCTAGGATTAATAAAGTATATTTAAAAGGAAATAGGCCTATAAGAACTTATTTATTTAAAAAAATCTATAATACAGTGACATCAAAGACCTCTAGGCATGAAACTTAGCCTACTTAACATGAACATGCCGTT